TACCCGCAGGCGCTGAGGCAGCATATTCGGGAGGAGTTAGACAGCCTAAAGGAGCAAGGGATCATAGTCGATAGCACCTCGCCATTTAATAGTCCCCTGTGGGCGGTGAAAAAGAAGGCAGCGCCGGGGGATAATAAGGAAAAATACAGGGTGGTAGTGGACTATCGTAAGCTGAACGACAACACGTTAGATGAAAAGTACCCGATCCCCAGATTCGAAGATATACTCGATAGGTTGAGTGGGGCTGTGGTATTTAGCACGTTGGACCTCAAGGCGGGATATCACCAAATACGGATGCACCCGAAGGATCAACACAAAACGGCGTTTACATTCGAAAGGGGGCATTACGAATTCACCAGAATGCCGTTTGGTCTGAAGAATGCGCCCATAACGTTTCAACGCCTGATGGACGAATTTTTGAGGGGTATCGACGACTCCGTATGTCAAGTATACATGGACGACCTGCTGATTTTTAGTAGAACGGAAACCGAACACGTGGGGCATTTGAGGTCGGTATTCGAAAGGCTGCGGCAATTCGGGCTGAAACTGTCAAGCGAGAAGTCCCTGCTGGGACAAACGCGGATCAATTTTTTAGGCCACACTATTTCTAGCGAGGGGGTCAGACCGGATGCGGCAAAGGTGGAAGCAATCACACGGATGGCGGTGCCACGGGACGTTAAAGGGATTCGTAGGCTTCTCGGGACGCTTAACTATTATCGGAGATTCGTACCTGAGATGGCAGAATACTTGGTACCTATCAACAACTTGCTGAAGAAAGGCGCGAGGATTGTGGTGACACCAGAAATGGAGAACAATATTCGGAAATGCATGAATAGGTTGCAGGCAGAACCCGTGTTGGCGTTCCCGGATTTTGAGAAGCAGTTCAACATCACCACTGATGCGAGCGAATACGCGTTGGGGGCCGTTTTGTCCCAGGGCAGAAGTGAGGGTGAACGTCCGATAGCATACGCGAGCCGACGGCTTACGAGTGCGGAATCACGATACAGCGCGTTGGAGAGGGAGCTACTCGCGATAGTGTGGGCTATCGACCATTTCAGGCCATACATATTTGGGAGGAAGTTTCGAGTCCACACCGACCACAAACCCCTTCAGTGGGTAGGGAAACTTAAGGAAACCTCAGCTAGGGTCACGAGATGGAAAGAATTCCTTAGTCAGTACAACATAGAGGTGGTGTATAAGCCGGGAAAGGAAAACGTGGTGGCAGACTGGCTCTCTAGGGCCATCATGATCAACGCGGTAGAAGAGGACGGGGGAGGACCATCGCGGGACGTGCGCCAATTCTTGAGTGAATGGACTCCTGATGGTGAAGGGGCAGATGATACCGTCGGTATAGAGGACAGGGAGGAGTCCCCGGAAGAGGATAGCTCAGCGGAGGAAAGAGCAGCGGAGATGGAGGAAATAGACGAAATCATTAACGACAAGCATCGGCAGGTAATCTGGAAAACAAGAACAACAGGGATCATGAAAATAGATTACCGAAGATATGGGAAAAGTAGAATTCGCGTCATTTGGTCGCAACCCGGGGTGAGCGAGGAGCAAATCCGTACGGCACTGAAGGACGCCACGGAACCGGGAAAAACGCACCATCTCTATGTTGGGAATAATACGGTATGGGAAAAAATAAAGCGGATGTGGAGATCCGAGCGAATAGGCGTGGATAGAACGTTCATCCGGTGCAAGTATGCAGTGGAAACCATACAGGATGAGGAGCAACAACAAGCAGTCACATTGGCATACCACCAGGGGAAGACCAACCACCGAGGCGTGTACGAGACGTTGCAGGCATTACGGCGAAAGTATTTTTAGTGGGGCATGAAAAAATCTATCCAAGTAATCATAGGGAAATGCGAGGTATGTATGCGCACAAAATATGATCGACACCCCCCCAGAGGAGTTCAGGAAGAGACACCTACAGGGAATATGCCGCTACAAGACCTCCAGATTGATACATTCACCTGGAAAGGGTTCAAGTGGGTCACTATCATCGACATCTTTAGTAAAGTAGCTATGGCACATCAGGTCATGGACAAGTCTGCCAACGCAGTTGCGGAAGCCCTACAAATCTGGGTGCAGTTTTACGGAGTCCCCGAGAGGATCACATCAGACGGGGGCAGGGAGTTTGACAATACCGCGATTAGGGAGGAGGTGAAACGATTAGAGGTTGTGTGGCATTATAACACCCCGGGACACCCTAAGAGTAGAGGAGGCATCGAACGATTGCACAGCACATTGAGTGACCACATCCGTGTATATCAGGGGGAGAAAGGGTTGGAGCCGGATGTTGCGATGAAGAAAGCGGTAACAGCCTATAACCATTCGATCCACTCCGTAACGGGATTTTCACCCGTGGAAGTACTATTCGGGATGCGCAGGCCAAGGCGAGATTGCGGGGAAACAACGATCAATGAACCGTTAGTAGAGCAAATCCAGAGCAATAGGGTAGAGGTAGAAAAGACGTGGGGAAAAGTAACGGGGAAAATTAAGCGGGAAAAGGAGAAGCGGGTACAGCGGCAGAATGTGCAGGTACGTGACCGAATGGGAGAATTAAAGATCGGAACAATAGTGTACCGTAGAGTAGGAACCAACAGAGGGAAACAATTGTTACGGTACGAGGGCCCATTCAGAGTGGTTGCTATTAGGGAGCATAATCTGCTAACCATCGAAAGCATTAACGAACCTAAGAAGAGGAGAACTGTTCACATTGAACAATTGAAGCTCCCAATGTTAGAACCGGAACATAAACCAACGGATTCGTAGTACCCTCACCGCTGTGGATAAGAGACATGTTTTCTTCTCTGGTTGTTAAAACATAAAGATGATGTCATTTTTTTTGTAAATAGAGCTTTAGCAATACAGTATATGCAATTGTAGTTTTTTTATAGTATTAAGACTTCTGTTCTATTGTTAATAAGACATTGTAAGCAAGTGTTTTGTTTAGTTTCTGTGTTTTATTTCTTTTTATTTATTTCTCGTTCCAGCGGAGTGGAAGTGAGTTTCAGTGTATTTTAAGTTTATAATGGTATTGTAAAGTGTTAAGGCTGGTACCGGTGGCTCCGATCTAGGAATCTATAAGTTTCCGAAAATCCTATTCGTAAACTGGTGGGGGGGAGATAAAGACCGGAGACTGGCGATATCAGCCTTAATACCATCTTCTAATGTAAATAAACATGACAACTGTATATAAGGCAGATTATTGAACGAATAAAGCAGTGTTTATTCAGAAGCCGTGAGTGTTGTTTCTCGATCCTTTTTCCTTCTTTTTTTTTATTTTTGAAGTCCGCCGACGCTTAACTTATATATATACACTGACAGGCAAAAAATTCCACCCACTTGATTTTTCCATGTTTTCATCTAAAAATATTTCTGTAAAGTTGTATATGTATATAATACATGGTATTTGTAGATAATACTTAGTATTTATGGAATTTTATAATATTTTTTATCTTTAATAATCAAAATGTGATTGGGTAGGAAAGATTAGAGAAAAAAAAAATTGAAAAACGAACCATTATTATTCTAAAAGAAATTAATTACATCATCGTTTAGTAGTGCGTGTTTCCTCCTCTTGCCTTCACTAATTCTTGAAGACTCCTCGGCATACTTTCCACCAGTCGGGAAATGTCCCTTTGCTGGAGGATAGCCCATTCCTCCCGAAGAGCCCTTTCAAGGTCCTGCAGTGTACCAGGAAGTGTTGCACGCGCTCTTATTTGTCTTCCGAGGTTATCCTATAAATGCTCAATGAGGTTCAAATCTGGAGAACTTGCTGGCCAGGCTAAAACCTCAATATTGTTCTGTTGAAGGAATGTCTGCACAATGCGGGCGACATGTGGGCGTGCATTAGAATAGAACGATCGCCGATTTCGTTGAGGATAGGCAACACATGAGGTTCCAAAATCTCATCTACATAGCGAATGGCCGTCAAAGACCCTCCACGAACAACAACCAATTCTGTGCGGCGCTCCATTGAAATCCCAGCCCACACCATTAAGGAACCACGTTGGAAAAGTTGGCTCGGGGAAAAATTACAGGCTGCATATCTTTCGTTTCTTCTTCTCCACACCCTTTCACGCCCGTCTGGAGATCGAAGAGCGAATCTTGACTCATCTGTAAAAAGTACAGCACTCCATTCGTCCATAGTCCAATGGCTGTGTTCTCGAGCAAAAGCCAGCCGTGTTACTGTGTGAGTTCTGGTCAACTCTGGTCCTCTTACTGGATGAAAAGCCATTAATCCATACTCATTTAATCTTCTCGAGCGGTAAGTTCAGAAATTTGCACACCTCGATCATCAATAAGTGCCACACCAAGCGCAACATCCTCAGCACTAAGAGGTATTTTTAAACTTAATATTGAAAAAATTAAAAGCCGGAGACTAAGAAATGTGCTGCAAGAAACGGCACTGAACTAATGATACTGAATAAACATTTTGATTTCATAGAAAGTAAACATTGGAATCTAGAATCATTTCATTGAATTAAGGATTAAGGGTGCTTCGAAGCTGTTCCTAAAAGGTCCATGTGAAAATAGAAGTAAACTGCTACTGAACATGGACAGAGCAGCCCTTAAAAAGCTTACAGCTATCTATACAGGTCACTGTAAGCTAAACAATCATATGTTCAATCTCGGAGTAATGACGAATCCGCTATGCAGATTCTTTCAGGAGGAGAATGAAACAGCTTTTCACATCATATGCAGATGTGATAGATTTACAAGGCTGAGACTGGTGGTATTTGGGGAGGAACAGATGGATCTCCCCAGAAGTTATGATTCGGTCAATCCAATCAGTCTACTCAGATACGCGGAAGCGACAGGATTAACGTTTTAAATAAAACGACTAACTGAAATTGGCGCACATGAAAGCTCTAGTTCATAATTGCTATTAAAATGAATTAACTATCATGGCAATTTAACACTCTCTCAAATGTAACAAAATCCTTACATTTCAACAATCAAACCAAAAATAAAGAAGGGCATTATGTTACCTGCTTTAAGAATAATATCTGTAAGTTGATCAGATTTATAAAAATAGCATAGTTTTTTAAAACTATTAGTTGCATGGTTGACACATTTGTAACAGCCATCATTTGTGACTATATGATCTGGGGGATCACGAAGTTTACAAAAGACACTGGACCTGCAAATTTTAAATTATATTTTAATTTTATGTATTTAATCCACCTAAATTGTATGTATTTAATCCACCTAAATTGTATGTATTTAATCCCACACTTAGAACTAAATAAAATATCTGAAACACCCAAAAATAAATACCCATATATATATATATATATATATATATATATATATATATATATATATATATATATATATATATATATTATATATATATATATATATATATATATATATATATATATATATATATATATATATATATATATATATATATATATATATATATATATAGCATTTCCAAGTCAAATTCAACCTTTTCCAAATCAAATTAAACTTTTTCCAAGTCAAATTCAACCTTTTCCATTTAAAATTAAACCTTTTCCATTTCAAATTCAACCTTTTTTTATTTATTTAATTATCTTTAATTTTTCGATGTGTGGGTCTGTTATCGTATGAGTAGTTTTTGAAAATAACCTCCTTTTTAAGATTACGTGACTGAGTTTCGAATTATTTAAGTTTTTTTTAATTATTCGATATAAGGGTGTTTCCCGATCAGTAAATTTTGAAAATGACATCCATTTTATGTTTACGTCACTGTGTTTTGATTTATTTAAGTTTTTAGAATTTATCCAATATAAAGGTCTACTTTTATGTTTCTACTTTATGAAGCCGTAGATTTTGAAAACGATCTCCATTTTAAGATTAGGCCACCGCGTTTCGACTTATTTGAGTTTTTCGGATATTTTTCATATGAGGGTGTATTTTTATGTTTCCGCAGCTGTAGATTTTGAAAATGACCTCCATTTTGAGATTAGACCACCGCGTTTCGACTTATTTGAGTTTTTCGGATATTTTTCCTATGAGGGTGTATTTTTATGTTTCCGGAGCTGTAGATATTGAAAATGACCTCCATTTTAAGATTACGCCACGGCGTTTCGACTTATTTAAGTTTTTTTGATTTATTCGATGTAAGGGTGTATTTTTATGTTTCCGGAGGTGTAGATTTTGAAAATGACCTCCATTTTATGATTACGCCGCTGCGTTTTGACTTATTTAAGTTTTTTTTTATTTATTCGATGTAAGGGTGTACTTTTATGTTTCCGGAGCTGTAGATTTTGAAAATGACCACCAGTTTATGATTAGGCCGCTGCGTTTTGACTTATTTAAGTTTTTCGAATTTATCCAATATTAAGGTCTACTTTTATGTTTCATGAGCCGTAGATTTTGAAAATAACCTCCATTTCATGATTACGCCATTGCATTTTGACTTTGTTTTTAGAATTTAACAAGTATAAAGGTCTAATTTTATGTTTCTTGAGCAGTAAATTTCCTCCATTTTGTAAATGACCGAATTTCAAGTTTATGCCACTGTTAAATTATAAAAAAATTTTTTTTTTACTTTTTCGGTATAAGGAGCTACTTATATGTTATCCGAGACGTATTGAAAATATTCTAATCTTTCATATTTAAATTTATCTAATATTTAAGCTCCATTTTATGATTAAGCCGCTGCATCTCGAATAATTAGGCTTCATTTTGGATTTTTTCAATACAAAGTTTCATCAATATGTTTTGGAGTATGAATAAATAAATAAATATTATGAAGCTAAAGTTAAATTAACCACAGAATAGAAACTAAAAAGCCGAAAAGCAGCTGGTAATAAATTTAACCTTCCGCATTCAGATTTTTCAGCTAATTGTTCGAAATCTTATAATTTTGTGACAGATCACAACATTAAAAAAGTTAACTAAAATTAAATTAAAAATAAGACAATACATATTTTATTTACTTTGATTAGATATTTTTATTTATTTATTGAAAAATAAATTAATCCTTCGTATTTTGTTTTTTATTCGAAGGAAAAATCAAAAACACTTAAAAAAACCGAAACACAGTGGCCTAATCTTAAAATGTAAGTCGTTTTAAAAACTAAGGCTCCGGCATCATAAAAGTAGACCTTTAAATTGGATAAATTCGAAACACTTAAAGAAATCGAAATGCGGTGGCCTAATCTTAAAATGGAGGTAGTTTTCCAAATCTACGGCTCCGGAAACATAAGAATACATCCTCATATGAAAAAAATCCGAAAAACTCAAAGAAATCGAAACGCGGTGGCCTAATCTTAAAATGGAGGTCGTTTTCAAAATCTACGGCTCCGGAAACATAAGAATACACCCTCATATGAAAAAAATCCGAAAAACTCAAATAAGTCGAAACGCGGTGGCCTAATCTTAAAATGGAGATCGTTTTCAAAATCTACGGCTCCAGAAACATAAAAGTAGACCTTTATATTGGAGAAATTCTAAAAACTTAAATAAGTCAAAACACAGTGGCGTAAACATAAAATGGATGTCATTTTCGAAATTTTCTGATCGGGAAACATGAAAATACACCCTTATATCGAATAATAATACTTAATCTTAAAATGGGGTTATTTTCAAAACTAGGTACAGGACAGCATAATACTAGTCCCTAATAAATCCGAATAGGTACAATAAATCGATATCCGTAAGTGAAAATTCTACTTAGGATAGCATAATAATAGACTTTCATATTGGAGGGGGGGAGGGGATGGCCATTATTTAAAAAAAAATATAAGATTTACAAAAAATTAAAACATTAATTTGAAATGAAAACGGTTGAATTTGAATTGGAAAAGGTTTAATTTGAAATGGAAATGGTTGAATTTGACTTGGAAAAAGTTTAATTTGATCTGGAAAAGGTTGAATTTGACTTGGAAAAGGTTGAATTTGACTTGGAAAAGTTGAATTTGACTTGAAATGACAGAAATATCACACTGAAAAAATCTAAAAATGTTAAAATAAATGGATATGCAACCGCGTTATCAAATTTTTTTTTGTATTTTTCAAAAGCTATGCCTTCGATAATATAGTAAGTGGCCTTCATTTCGAAAAAAATCGAAAATTGACAAAAATTCGAAAGTTGAATTTGAAATGGAAAAGGTTGAATTTGACTTGGAAAAGGTTGAATTTGAAATGGAAAAGGTTTAATTTGACTTGGAAAAGGTTGAATTTGATTTGGAAAAGGTTGAAATTGACTTGGAAATGCTATATATATATAAAGAAGAGAAGAATAGTTGGGGTGCTCAGTTTTGACTGACTACCCCAACTATTCTTCTCTTCATTATCCACGACAGTCAACCAATTACCAATTATGGCTATATATATATATATAAATTTTTCATAGCAGATTTCATCAATTCCAATTGTTGCAATCAATGTGCTTTCTCAAGGTATAAACATATGTAAAAATATAGGAACAGAAAGCATAAGCTCAAATAAACTGGTGTATATATAATATACTGAGGAATGCCAAACATTTCTATTGAATAATGAGATAGATAAATTTCAGTAGAAACAATATCTAACTATGATTCAGACATGTATAAGTACAAAGAGATGAGGGTTTAGTTTAAATTTATAAACTCTTGCTCTTTATGCTCCTCTTTTCCAAGGTAGTCACAATCTGCTTCTGGATATTATCTGCCTAGGTTTCAAAGGAGTAGGTCATCTTCTGTCAAGATTAAAGTTGGTTGGGGTCATAGCAATTTTCAATTTGTGTGAAAAAAGCATTGTATTCACCTAAGTGACCAGCTGAGAGAACTCATCCTCTAATAAGAAATAAAATCTAGTGTCCTTTGAGAATTTAGTCTTAAAGACAAAGTAGTTTGTGAAGATGTGCTCAGAAATGCCACAACTGGAGCATAGAGTATCAATATCCTTATTAAAGGCAAGGAGCTTAGCTAAGAAACCCCTATGCCCAATTAGGAATTTGAAACTCAGAACAGTTTATTTTGTGATTCATTGATATCTTGTTTACTAAATTACTTTCTCTGATTATTTTATATTTATACACGTTTTTTATATATTTTTATTATCTATAATTTTATTGTTATCATCCTCTAATTACTAAACTGTAGTCTATGGACACACCAGAATATTAATATACTTTCTGTATTTGTAACTTGTTCTAAAGGGACAATAGTCCCAGAATAATAAAATTATTTTCATTCATTCATTCAACAGCAGGAATCATTTTTCATCCAAACCGAACTAGATGGAGGAGTACTTCGTCAGCGTAGTCCCTATCAGGGTTGGCATTCACCACAGGTTCCACTCTTCCACCAACATCTCAAATGACCTTTTAATTCTTGTCAATCCTAACTTAAAGGTGAACTTCCCATAGATTTGTATAGCCTGTTTATTAGTCTGTGGGCCAGACCCGATTACAGTGTACTCCCCCCCCCCTCACATCTCTATAAATTGCATATCGTGTTCCTTATAACTATTGAAAAAAAAAGCCAATGTTCCCACAAAAAAAGTGAACGCAATGCCCCGAAATGCCATCCAAAGATGGCCTATTGACGACTGACTTTAGTTAGTTTTTTGGTCACTGAGAATCAGCACTTGGCATAATTTCCTCATAATTGGTCTAATATTAAAGCTGAATAGTCAGAGAATAATAAAACATGAAAAAATATTTTAAAATAATTGGATTAGGCAATAAAAACAACAGTAAAGTCAATTTTTTTAACAAAAAAAATTTCAAGTTGAAAATCAAGCATCGTTTGTAATTAAAGAGCCAACAATAATGAAAAATGTGCAGACATAAACCATCTAGAGAATATATTTCTCTTTCTAAAACACTGATTATATTTTAAGATATTTGAAACAATTCCGAAGAAAACGCACTTAAGCCGCAAAAAAGCCGTACTGGCGTAGGTGTCTACAGGCCTCTACCAAACCATTCAGTACTCGTAAATGGCTTCGTTATTGAGCTATAATAAGGTTTTTGGTACATTATATTTATTGTATTAAGGAACAAATATTAATACAATAATTTAATTGTCCAAAAAATTAAAAAAAAAAATTTTAATTTATTATTATTTTTTTTCAACTTAACTTCCTTTATTTTATACGAAGGTCGTTTAAGAAGGCCTCTATTTTAAAAATGATATTATTATAATAATAAAACTTAGTTCAAAAATACTTTGAATGCTGAATATTTTTAATTTTTTATTTAACGTTTGCCATTTAACCACTTTGTTTTGTAAATTTAATGATTCTTAGAGGTAGTTCAAATTGTATTTATTTCTCCGAAAATGAGTACATTAATACCTGCTTTATAATCTAAAATAATATATACCTAATCTGCACTAAATATAATGAATAGCTGATGGGTTGTTGTTTAGTAAAACTCATATATCACTAATAACCAAATTCATTTTTATTTCCTTTATTTTGTTAGGAAGCTCAATCATATAAAAAAATAGAAAATTTTAATATTGAATGCATTATTCTCTCTGCACGAAGAAAGAAGGAAAAGGCGACCATCTAGGTAACCGGAACTGATTGTTAGTATTTAGTCTCATGATGAGGGAAAATGCAAAAATGAACCCAAAATTGGAAAAATACATTAAGCAAACGAGAAAGGAAGTGCCAAAATCCCGGAAAAGAATATGGCTTAACGAATATATAGGAGACAGATGAACAGAATATTTTAAGATGATGCGGAAGGGGATCAAATGCTGAAGCAGTTTGGATGATATTAAGGAGACGATGCAGGTCTACTGTGGTGAAGACCATTTTATCAGCAAGAAGGATTTGTTCAAAGCACTTGGCAAGTCAGCTGGTCTGAACGAAGTAAACGAGGTTTACTATGGTGAAAATAACTTTATTTTCGATTAGTACGGAAATTGGTACTTGCACATTGGGACTATCTTCGCATTGACACAGGTTATAGAGGGGTCTATCGAGAAAGGGAAATAGCTCTCCTTCTGTTTAGTGCATTTGCAAAAGATTTTTGAAGGAATCTGAAAGGACAACGAGCTTTTCTTAAAGACTAGTAGATATTAGGACAATCCAAAATGTGAGGCACTAAGCAGATAGAGGGCTATTTTTTCTTTCTTGATCGACTTCCCTATAACCTGCTTTAAAGTGAAGACAGTCCCATTTACAACTTCTGTTCCAATGTGCATCCTGAGTCTCACAATCCATATCGCACTGGCAATCGATAATATTTCTTATTCTAGCTTCTACGATTCTCTAGTTGAGTTTCTTTAGTACACTGAACAGAAGTGGATCTCGATGGGTATTACATTTTCTAGTATCTCCTTTCTTGTAAAAGCACAAAACTATTGTCCTTTCATATCATTCTCTAACACAATTGTTGCCTATATAGGCGCAGCAGTCTGGTTTACTTCGTCCAGAACAGCTGACTTGCCAATTGCTTCGAACAAATCTTTCTTTTTGATAAAATGGTCTTCACCACAATAAACCTACATCGTCCTCTTAATATCATTCAACCTCTTAATTCATCTGTCTACTATATATTCATTAAGCCATATTCTTTTCCGAGATTTTGGCACTTCCTTTCTTGTTAGCTTAATGTATATTTCCAATTTTTGGGTTCATTTTCGAGTTTTTCCTCATCATGAGACCAAATACTAACAATCAGTTCCAGTTACCTAGAAGAACTTATAGCTTCGTCCTTTCCATCTTATTTTGTGCAGAGAGAATAATGCATTCAATATTAAAATTTTCTATTTTTTCATGATATGATCCAACTTCCTAACAAAATAAAGGAAATAAAAATTAATTTGGTTATTAGTGATATATTAGTTTTACTAAACAACCTATCAACTATTCATTATATTTAGTGCAAATTAGGTATATATTATTTTAGATTATAAAACAGGTATTAATGTACTCATTTTCGGGGAAATAAATACAATTTGAACTACTTCTAAGAATCATTAAATTTACAAAACAAAGTGTTAAATGGCAAACATTAAATAAAAAATTAAAAATATTCAGCAAAGTATTTTTGAACTAAGTTTTATTATTATAATTATATCATTTTTAAAACAGAGGCCTTCTTAAACGACATTCGTATAGAATAAAGGAAGTTAAGTCGAAAAAAAATAAAATAATAAATTTAAAAAAAAATTGTTTGGACAATTAAATTATTGTATTAATATTTGTTCGTTAATACAATAAATATAATGTATCAAAAACCTTATTATGGCACAATAACAAAGCCATTTACAAGTACTGAATGGTGTGGTAGAGGCCTGTAGACACCAGACATCAAGAGAAATAAAGTAAATAGTTTGTTTTAGCAATAATGTCGCTGTCAGTTAAGTAAGATAATTGTTTTCCCTGTAGTTTGAGAAATGTCTAAATACACCTTAATGTAGACAATGTCATTTATGACATGTTAGCATTTTGGTCTCTTGTTTTTAATATTTTCCATATTATATCGGTATCAAGAGAAATAAAATAAACAGTTTGGTTTAGCAATAATGTCGCTGTTAGTTAAGTTAGATAATTGTTTTCCCTGTAGTTTGAGAAATGTCTAAATAAACCTTAATGTAGACAATGTCATTTATAATGTGAAAATATAAATCATTATTGTTTTCAATATGACCAATATTTACAAATAGATTATGGATAAAGAGCAATAAAGCATAGACTTTTTTTCTCACATCCAATCACAAATAAGCCAGATAGAAACAAAAATACTGACTGTTATCATTCAAATGAACATTTTAATGCTAAAAAGGATATAATAGCTGACATTTTTTTAAAGATACCTTCTGGTAGTCATTAACAATCGTAGATACACTAACAACACTGAGAAACTTAACAATTTAAATTCCTGCCAAAAAGACTGTCGTTGAAATTCCAAAGAACTATAAAATTTACCGTAAAGGATGAAAATATTATATCAATACCTATCATAAATTCATATAGGTTACTTACATTAAATACTAAATGTAGCATTAAAGAGATAATTTAATTTTTAAAGAATAATTGTGTATGTAAGTGAAATATTTTAAAAATTATTAACATTAAGACGAGAGTTGTATTATTATTTTCCCAAAACATGGGTCCACGATATACACAGGATGTTTCTTAAGTAAGGGGATGCATTTAAAGATATGATAATAAATCTCAATAGTTATAAAAAAATCGGTACTTGTGACTTTTGAGAGAGGTTTCTGCCCATAATATATAATACAGGTCAACTAATAAAATGGGAATGCCTGGAAAAGTCCTTGAGATAGACGAAAGTCTTTGCTAAAAGAAAAAATCATGAAAGGAGAGTGTTCCCTGAACAGTGGATGTTTGGCGGAGCTTGTCCGGAAATTGACAAGTGATTCATTGTAAAAATAAAAAACTGAAAAGCAACGACTCTATTAGAGTGTATACAAATGCTCTAATACAAAAGTATTTTGCTATTATTACATTTCTTTATATCTATTCCAATTTCCGAAGGCAGCTAGTCGACTGTTCTACATATCATGGGTGATAAATATTCAGGACGCAGTATTTTTTTTTTTTTTTTTGTCCATGTGACGGATTGTTGTAATACTCAATAAATAAATTTTAAAAAATTTATTTGTGCCAACGGTTCAACTCAGGTTTGAGCACAGAGGGTGTTCAAGTACTGTACTTGACCCACATGTTTGGGTTGAAACGTTGAATTAGGCCTAATAGGTGTGAAGAAGCCTAATAGTGAGGACCTAGCTTTGGTGGAAAGAAAGCGTCCTAGAGGAGAGGACACCCGGCCACCGTCGATCGTTGTGCGTTTTGTTCGCCAGAAGATCCGTGACGAGGCGCTTCGACTAAGAAGGATAAAAAGGGATTTCACCACCAGGCACCTCGGTTGAGATACCGATGAAATAATATATATTGGTGATGAAATGAACTCGTATAATCGTCATCTTTACTGAGCGGCGAGACAGAGAAAGGCGGCGGGAAAAATATGTCAAATATGTATGATTCTCTAGATGGAGTGTCAGCTGCAGAAAAGACGACGACTTGCACCAGCAAGCCATCGGCTTTGTTAATGACAACTACCAAGTTGTCATTAACAAAGCCGATGACTTGAATGTGTTTCAATGATGCAAACACAATTTTTACCCATCCGTTACATATTTCGTTAACAGTTACCAAATTTTCTATATTTCTTAATTTAATTTATTCATCTCAATATTTATTTTTTCACTCAAGGAATATTATCTTATGTTTTTTTCTGAACCGAATACATTATTTTCCTACTTAGTTTTGTACATATATTTACGTTCAGTCTAGTTTTCTCTCTATTATTATTTACCTTGTTAGGGTTCTGTCTAATGACAAACGTCCAAGACAACTTAGCCTATACCATGTGCAAGCTGCTGCAGCTTCTTTGGATCGAGAGATCGCTTCTAGCCGCCTGTTGTTTTTAGTGCGTGTTTGTTTGTTTATTTAAGCTTTAAGGCGTAAAACCCTAAGGTCATCAACGCCTGTGAGTCGGTTATATTTGTAAACTCTTTAGCAGAGAAATAGAAAAAAAAGAATGAACTGTCAAAAATTAATTATAGATAGATAGAATAATAAATGAAAAAGATATTTAAAAACATATAAAAAATGAAATATATTAAAATAAATATAAATAAAAAAGAAAGAACAATAAAATAAAAATTATATTTATTTTTATATTTTATTTAATAGTCTATGGATTTTAAGAAATTTTATCACTGTTTTTATGTTTGATTCGTTGTTGCTTAATACTACTGATATATCCGGTTTTAGAGATAATCGATTTAGGCTTGAAGTATAATAAGTGCATTCTTGGAAAATATGATTGATTGTGAGAGGGCTATTGCAGTGTTGAAAATTTGGTGGTGGCTGCTTAGTGATGAGATGTACATGAGTTAGGTTCGTGTGTCCTATTCTCAACCTGGTCACGGCGACCTCCTCTCTACGATTAGGGCGGTTTGATGTGGTCCAGGGCTTCACTGATTTTTTAACAACTTTCAATTTGCTAGGTGGGCTTTCGTTCCACATAGTTTGCCAACTATCCAATATTTCCTTTTTGAGAGGAAAACTCATTTCTGGAGGGGTCGAGATAGGAGCACCTCGGTCTGGGAGCGCGAGTGCCTGTTTGGCTGCCGTATCTGCAAGCTCATTACCAACTATAGCCACGTGACTGGGAACCCATATAAAGCAAACCGATTTTCCTAAATTTTCAAGAGTGTGAAGGTATTTGTGTATTTTTAGAATAATTGGAAGCTTTGAGTACATATCATTAAAACCCTTTAATGAACTCAAGGAGTAGGTTATCAAGACTATTGTAGCTGGAGTTATTGACATACAGAAAAGGTGAGCTGAGGCTATTGCGTGAAGTTATATGCTGCTTAGTTTATGTAGTTTTATTTTATGTGTGAAGTTATGGGTAACAAACGAAGAAGCTGTAGCATCATCGGATTTCGAACCATCAGTGTAAATTATAAATGGTTCCGGAATATTTGTAGTAGATGCATCATTGTAGTAGACGGGAAAATTCGGTTTTGTACTCGTAAGGTGCGGTATTGCTTTTGAGTAATCGAGTGAGACGGAGCATCATTTTTGAGGGTTTGTGGATCCACGGTGGGTTTTGGTTTTCTATATTGTATAAAGGTAAGTTCTTAAGGGATTGAGCTGCTGAATAAATTCTTCCTGACAGTGGGAGTGTGGAATTTGTTTTGTTTCTAAAAGCGTTCGAAAATTTAGGTTTAAAAATGTAGTTGTGGGAGGGATGTTTATTTTGGGGGTGTAGCCTTGAAATGTAATTAACAGCCGATTTTTTCCTTCTAAATAAAAGAGGGGGTATTCCGATCTCAGAGCAGACACTAAGGATGGGGTTCGTTCGAAACGCGCCAGTTGCTATCCTAATGCCTCTATGGTGGACTGTATCGAGTTTGTTTAGGATCCGATAGCGGGCAGAACCGTATATAAAGCACCCGTTTTCCGATTTCGAACATACCAGAGCTTGATACAGTTTTATTAACGTAAGTCTGCCTGAGCCCCAGGAAGTGCCGATATCTATGGTGGTTCGAGTACGGGATTAGGAATTTCCGAGATAGATTTCGGGTGAGTAAGGGGTGTTTCTTTTTCGACTGAAATGTATGCACTTAGTTTTTGCGGAAGAAAATTGGATACCAATAGAAAGAGACCAATTGATGATTCTATTGACAGCGTTCTGTAGTTTGTTGCGTATAGTGTTAATATTGCCAGACCGGCTAAGAATGGCTAGATCATCTGCGAATAGAAGTGGTTTGACACCTCTTGGTAAGTTGAGGTCATTTATCGCCAGATAGAACAGAGTTGGGCTGAGGACGCAACCTTGAGGGACACCGTTGAATTGTTGGTGGTTGTCGAATAATTCTCCTCCTACTTGGACTCTAAAGTGTCGGTGCGTGAGAAATTGCCTAATATAATTGTACATTTGGCCTCTAATTCCTACGGTTGATAATTTACTGAGGATTTTGGAGTGATCTGTATTATCAAAAGCTTTTTTCATATCGAAAAATATGGCTATTGTTTGTTGTGCGTTGATGAAAGTATATTGCGGTTCGGATTCTAATGCAACTAAATGATCTAATTTGCATCGACTCTTACGGAAACCCGATTGAAAAGATTGAATTAAATTGTTGTTCTCTATTATCCACATTAGTCTTCTATTAATCATCTGTTCCATTAATTTACTTAAGCAGCTTGTGAGAAATATAGGGCGATAGCTGGTTGGTAAACGTTTATCATTTTCGCTTTTCAGGATTGGGATGACCACTGAATCACGCATTTATTCGGGAACTGTCCAGTGGACCAGACATGATTATAATATCTGAGTAACCATTTCAGTGTATTACCTGGGAGGTTTTTTATCATGTCATAGTGGACCAGGTTAGTACCAGGGGTTGAGCCTTTAACAGTTTTTAATATGTTTTTGAGTTCCTACATTGAAAATTTGAGGTTGTAACACAATAATTCATCGTCGATTGTTCGCTCAGGGTCCGTGTATTCCGAGCTTATATTATATCTTTCGGAGTTATATATTTCCGGAAAAAAAGTTGCGAATGTGTTTGAGACGGATAGAGGATTGCCAGACAGTTGTCCATTGACCAAAATAGTATAGCGAGAGGAAATGGAAGTTTTAGCGAATTTTCGGATTTTGTTCCAAACGTCAGTTGATTTTGCAGAGGAATTAATGGAGCTTATAAATTTTTTCCAGGACTCGGTCTTAGACTGATTGATTATTTTTCTACATAGTACACACTGTTTTTTATATTCTATTAAATTTTGAGAGGTCATATATTTCTGGAATTTTTTGTAGGCTTTACGGCGATCTTTAATGGCTTCCTTGCAAACATCGTTAAACCAGGGAACAAGCGGTCTTCTTAGAAAGCCAGAGGTCATTGGTATTGATGCTTTAGCTGCTTCTAGGATCGTATTAGTGATGGTTTCACAGCCTTTATCGATATTCATTCGTTATTTTGAATTTTATGTGTATTAGAAAATGGTTACTACAAAACCGCCCAGTTTGTAATGGTAAATAATGAGGAATCGCAGAATGACAAATTAAGAATCGAGTAAGAGACATAACTAGTGCTAAGAAGGGTAGGTTCTTCGGTGTTGAGTAGAAGCAGATTAGAAGCGTCTAAAAAACTTTCTATTACTTTACTTCTCGCGTTAATGTTTTGGGAGCACCATAGAGGGTTGTGACCGTTCAGATCCCCAATAAAAAGAACTGGACGAGGCATTTGGTTATAGATATCTAAGAGTTGTTGTGTATCTATGGTACGGTCTTGTGGAAGGTATATATTACAGATGGAAAATGAAAAATCTTTGTGAACTCTGATTGCAACAAC